GTCTTTCCATATACCTGTTTATTTCATTGTAATAGGTCTGGATTAATTTAACTTCTTCTGGTAGTCTGTTGTTGGGTAATGTTCTAAAGTGTGAAGTAGGAGTGTGTTTGGTTATAGATGTTTTTATTGCTGAGTGCAGTCTGTCCATTTCTGAGTCTATATCTTCTGTTGTTTTCCCTTGTAGGTTAATCGAGTGGTGATTACTTAAGTCGTCTTTGAAGCTGTCCCAGTCTGTTTTACTCATTTTCAGTCTCTTTTTATTGGTATCTGTATGGGGCTTGTTGACAGTGTTAGTATAATTGGCAGATGGTCACTGCCTGTATTATATGGTAATTGAAAAAGGCTTTGTTGTTGGTAAAAATTTTGTCTGGTGTCGATTGTGTATTGTGATTTCTCCAGGTTGGAAAGTTAGGACCCAGATGATTGATTTTCCTAAATTTATTAATTGATTAAGGGCGTTTCCCACGACGTTATTATTTGTATTGTCAAAAATCCTATGTCTGGCGTTAAAGTCTCCTAAGATGTACATCGGATGACTATTGTTAGCCAATTTTAATAGGTCTTCTATAGGTAAGTAGTAGCAATAATTACGTCTCCTTGAGTTGTATTTATTTTTATTGCTAGAAATTCATCCTGGAAGTCATCAATTAGTTTAAATTTTAAGTTTCTTTTAACCGCTATCGCTACTCCGTCATTTTTCTCGCCCGATTTATTTCTTTGGTTTACATAATAGTTAAAGAGTTTTATGTTGTTGTTTTCTGTCTCACCGTGACTGTTTATTAGTATAATGTCAGGGTCAATTTCGCGATATATATTACTTAGGTTAATTCTCTCGGTCTTCCAGTTTCTTACGTTGTGTTGTATTATTCTTAAAGTTCTTACTGTTTGTCTATTGTCCATTATTTCTTATACTTGGATTGTGGCAGTTGGAGTGGAGACCTATCATCCTGTTTCCCGCTTCTGACTCTTCTATACTCTGACGGGTCTACTATTTTAAAGTCTTTGGCCGTAATCTTTAGTTTGTCCGTAGTAATTAGTGACCAGACATAATCTTCACTTAGGGATTTTTCTTGATATGTCCACTTGTATATCCCTCCTTCACAGTTTTTACTATTGTCCCTCCTGTTGGTCTCGATGTTGGGATTCCATGTTTTGTTGTAGTGATAACTTTTAATCCAATTTCTTCAGCAGATTCAGGTTGTATATTGTGATCAGTTTCCATCTTATCTTCTCTCCTCCTACTCCTTTGTCTGTCCTTTTGTTATTTCTATCTTCTCTTTGTCACTTCTAGTCATTTGTCTGGGATCTCTATCAGTCGCTTGTGTTCCTTGTGTATCAGCTGTTGCTCAAACCTTTGTTCGTCTTGATGTAGTCTTTCTCTCAGTTCGCTTGCATATGTTGTCTGAAATAGTTTTTCGGATTGTGGATTCTCTGGAAATATCATCTCTGGTAGGTTATTCAATTTAAACATTTTCCTTAATTCCTCATTGTATGATCCGGGTGCAATGATATTGTGCAAATGTGCATGGATCATACTAATCATTACCTTATCATGTATTGGCTCACTTAGGTTTAATACTGTGGATTCTGGTCTATGAGCCTCTTGGACCGCTCTCTTGCTATTTCGACGTATGTCGTATCCTTCTTGTCTTGTTCCTTTTTCCTTGTTTCTTGTACTTTATCATGTGTTTTTTATTGGGCATGCCATTGCTAACGTCCTATGTCCTATGTATACATTCCCGTTTCTCTTACAGTTGAGACAGCCAACATGTGTATTCTTACATTCAGTGTAGGTATGGTCGTCGCCTGCACAATCTGAGCAGTACTTTTTTCTTTTTCCGGACAGTCTCTCGTTGTGTGTTCTTCATATTTGTAGCAGGAGAAGCAAGTTTGCAGACTGATGAATGTCTCCTTCTTTATTTGATGTGGTGTGACTGACATGTTGAATATTAGAAAGCCCTGTTGTAAAACTTTCTCAGCCATTGACACTTCTTCAAACATGAGTATAGTCCTTTATCTTAATGACTTCTTCAATCTTCATCCACCTATTTTGGCGTTCCAGTTCTTCTTTCAGGTCTTCCTCCCGATCTCTTGATCGACTTGACGAACAAAAACTGATCTTTTTGCTTTTTGTTCTGGTGGCATGACAACAATAAGGCCTTCATTGTAAAATATATCTCTTGCTTCTTTTGAAAGGATTTTATCTGAATCAAAGTCATCTTTACAGATTACTTTAAAACCTTCATTGGTGCTGAATATTCTAGTTAGTGGGACTTGCAGTTTGTTGTAAGTGATTTCTGCCACTTTTCCCCTTCCAATAGAGTGTCCCTTATCTCTATGTTTTATTCTAATGCTAGTTGTCATCTTCTTGATTACATCTAATCCTACCTATAACACAGGGCTCCTGCCTGGGCAGTGACCCCGCCCCCCTCTTGGACGGGCGTCGGGCTCTGCACCCAGGTTACCTGACTAGTAATATCTAAAAGTTGCCACCTACCGG